CCGGTTGTATGGTAAGACCGCCTAAGTGAGCGTTATCCTGTCCCCTGCTGCCCCATTACTATCGAAATCAATACAGCGCGCGCCGGCGGACCGTTCTCGTCACTCGTGATGCGGAAGATGCGGCGGTGCAAGCCCAGCGCCCGCCCATGTCCCGCCCACGTGCCCGCGCCGCGCCTGCCCGCGCCCACGCCGCGCTCCGACCGCGGCCGCCAGTGCGCGCCCGCTCCTCGGGCACTTGCCTGCGCCTGCACGCCCGCGCACGCCCGCGCGCACGCCGCACTGTGCGGCACTGCGTGGCACTGTGTGGCGCTTCGCCGGTCTGAGCAGGGTACCTGGGCGTTTTGAAATTCCGTGCAAGGGGGTGCCGAGGTATGCCGCAGGCCGGGATGGAGTGAGATCTTGTGGGGCAGGGCGTGGGCTAGCGCGCGAGGGCGCAGGCAAGTGCCCGAGGGTATGGGGGTGGGCGCCACCCTGGGGCTACCCGTAGCATCGTCGGCTCCCTCAGTGATGGGTATCCAAGGGTGGCTCGCGTACTTGGCTCTCTATTGCTGGCTGCAAGACGTTGGGGTAGAAGTCAGGCCGCGCCCGCAGATCTCGACTGTGTCCAGAGCGCAGGCTGGTCGTGTGCTGAAAAGGGTTGGGCCCGCACCACACGTCAAAAAGCTCGGACGGACGCGCTAATACCGCCACGAGCAGCATAGGGACGAACGACGGGACGAACTTCCACACAGAATTTCACTGCAAACCTCGCTCGCACAGCACTACGCACGGGACTGGCACGCACTGGCACTAACACAGAACGATGGCGATGTTGCTCTCGGGGCTGTTGTTCGCGTGGTGGCACCTGGACTTTAGGTGTGCTCGACGATCGTGCCTTCCCGCCAGCCAGAAGAGCAGTTAGGGCCAGCATATCCTGGCCATTTGCTGCTTTCCATGAACGCCCAGCGAGGGCACGGTAATCATCGTGTTGAGTTGCCCTCACTTCCAAGGACCCGAACCCGGCTCAATCACAGTGCATGCGCGATTGGCATCGAGTGCCTGAATTGCATTCGTCAGCGCGCCACCCTGCGGTCCAAGGCAAAATGGCCTTTGCACACCACGGCTGTGAGCACATCGGCAAGCGAGTCACGCGCCGCTTCGAAGGCGTTAATGTCGGAGGCGTCGTGATCGCGTGGGCCCCGGCCGACGGCCAAGATGAGGCGCTCTACCGCGTGCATCACGACGACGGTGATGAAGAGGACCTCGATCGGCAGGAGCTGGAGGACGCCTTGGCGCTGGCCGCCAAAACTCCGGTGGAACTCAAGGGCCGATTCCTCGCCGTGCCAACCTCATTCTTCCAGGTCGAGGCGGGGTTCTACCTGGCGCGATGCACTAGCGTCAGCGCCGGCGGCGCCGTTTGGCTCAGGTACGGCTCGGACAACTACTCGCACTGGGTGCCGCACGCGATCGCGAGCAAGTGGCTCATCAGCGATAGCGAGGCGCGCCGAGGCGACTGGGTCGGCTCCGGCGGCGTCGAGTCCTTCGCAGCGGGTGCCCAGGCTGAGGAGGTGGGCGAGGCGCCGGTGGCGGAGGCGGAGGGCTTGCGCTTGCACCTCTCCCGCATCAGCAGCACCGGGTACGCAGGCGTGTCGAAGTCCACCCACTGTACCGGCCGCTTCCACGCGCGGCACAAGGTGGGCGGAAGGAGCCTCGGCTCCTTCGGCTCAGCGGTGGAGGCGGCGGTGGCGTACGCGCGGGCAGTGGGGGAGGCGGATGAGGCGGGCGAGGCGGGCGAGGAGGGCGACGGTGAGGAGCAGGACGTCGCTTCTGCCGCCGCCCGCCGAGACTCCGCCCAGCGCAGCAGCGGGCGGCGCCGCTCGGTGCCCGCTCGCTTCGTGGCGGAGCCCTCTTTGCAGGGCGACGAGTCGCAGCTCGAGTTCGCCGAGAAGCTGCTGCTGCCGGCCGCGCAGGAGGCGGTGCCACAGCTAGAGGCTGCCATGAAGTTTGGAGTGGGAGATGCGGTGCTGGGCAAGTTTGGCCCCGACGACGAGGGCAAGACGGGCGGCGTGCTCGACAAGTGGTACCGCGCCGTCGTCCGCGCCGTCAACGCGCCTCTGATGCCGCCGGCCGACCGCCCTGCCGTGAGCAGCGCCTCTTCACACCTCCGACTCGGAACAGGCGGACGGCACGTATTCCCTCGAGTACGAGGACGGCGACAGCTGGGAGCAGGTGCCACGCGTGCACGTGCGGGCTCGGAAGCGGCCCCGCGGCGACGAGGCGTCTTCGGCATCGATGGAGGCGGAAGAGCCGGCGGCAGCAGCGCAGCGAGGCGGCGGGGAGAAGAAGCGCGGCCGCCCGTTGGGGAGCAAGAAGTTGAAGCCCGCCAAGAAGGGGGTGCCGAAGCGGGGCGCCAAACCGAGAGGCAGGCCTCCGCACGGGTGCTCGTGGAGCGAGAAGCAGAGCGCGTACGTCAACGACGAGCAGGCGGGCGTTCGGCGCGCCGCGGCGGCGGAGTCGGAGGAGGAGGCACAGGCGGAGGAAGGGGAGGGCCCCGGGACACCTCCCGGCACGCCGCCGCCGGAGGCAGCGGCGGCGGCGGCGGCGGCGGCGGCGGCGGCGGCGGCGGCGGCGGCGGCGGCGGCGGCGGAGGCGGCGGCGGCGGCGGCGGCGGCGGAGGAGGAGGAGGAGGAGGACGAGGGCGAGCAGGAGGAGGAGGAGGAGGAGGAGGAGGACGGCGGTGAGGAAGAGGAGGCTCCGGCGGCGGAGGCGGAGGGGCTGAAGCTGCACTTGTCCAGCCGCAGCAGCACCGGCTACAAGGGCGTGCGCGAGATGCAGTCCGGTCGCTTCTACGCTACTCGCAAGGACGGTGGACAGGACGAGTACCTCGGATCCTTCGACTCGGCGGTGGAGGCGGCGGTGGCGTACGCGC